CCCATATATTAGGGTTATTTTCATTATCTCGCGGGAATCGTAGCTGGAGTAAAAACGGGGGGAAAGAAATAAAATCCAACAATGACTGCAGCATATGCGCGTATAATAAGAAAACGTTAATTAAATGAAGGGATATATGACTGCAATGCACTGTACTGTACTCTACTCTACTCGTATATTAATTAATATATATACACGCACGTGCTGCTGCTTTTCCAGCTCAGCCACCAGCGTGTGCAGCTGTGCCTCGAGTCGGTCCTTCTCCACTGCTTGTCTCTGGATCTCCGCCCTCGCGTGGTCCAGTTCCCGCAGCGTCTTGTGCAACTCCTCGTGGTGCACGGACGACGACGCGGCGTCCTTTTGCAACAGCTGCTGCATCTCCTTGTCGTACTGGGCAAACTGCTGCTGCATCTCGGCCAGTTCCACCTGCATGTTGCCGGCCAGCGTCTCGGCCTTGTCCGCCCGGGCCTTCTCCTGCATGGCCAGCTCCTGCATCTTGGCTGCTTGCATGTCGCCGCCCTGCAGGCACCGCTTCAGCTCCTCGGCCTCGTGGCGCAGCTGCTCGAACTGGGCGCGTTCCTGCTTGGCAGCCTGTGGTGGGGTATGGGCAATATGAGTACCACGAGGATCGAGACATTTGAAATAAAATTAAACCTGGTATTCGCAACAGCAACAACAAAATAAGCAGCAAGTACTTTACACGTAATTCCGAAGGACTTCAGTTCGAACTATACTGGATTCTAGTCATGGCAATTTTGAAGGAGAGTATACACACATCAGTCAATTTCTCTGTTTTTTTTCAATATTCTTTGAAACGATCAATATATTGTAGAGCAAGATCCCCCAACCCGTGATCCGCGGACCGTTTCGCGGGAAAATTTATAAATTTATAGAAGGTAGTACAGTATAATAAAGCCTGTTATCCTTAATTATCCAAAATTCCGAAAGAAATCGCAGTTGAAATTACAGTAACTAAGAAAAAATACCAGTTAGCTTTTCTTCGTATTACACTTCACCCTTCAGACATGTCTTCACTTGTCTGAAATACGGTATATTATTTTCAGTTTTAAATCTGAGAAGCTTTTCTTGAAGCTCAGCTTTCTGTTTTTTTTTTCAAGACATTCCAATATATAGCTGCTTAGCAGTTCTTTACTTAATTTTTGGAACACAATTTATGCGTTGAGGACTTCATGGCAGTTATTTGAAAAAAATGTCCTGGTCTTGAAAAATTGTATGGAACTTTGCCAGTCCGCAGAAAATTTATGAAAATTTGACGGTTCGCAATTTTTGTTTTTTGTTTTTCCCGGTCCGCGAGCAAAAAAGGTTAGGGAGCACTGTTGTAGAGCAGTGTTCCCCAACCTTCTTGGGCCCACGGACCAGCAAATAAAAAATAAATAAATTCTGCAGACTGGCAAAGTTCCATACATATTTTGTACAGGGTCGAAAAAGGTTTGTTTGAGTCTTTCTGGCAGGTATTAAAATCATTTTTGGTTTTTTGCACAAATTAAGTTTGGCATTGAAACACTGCCGCGTTAGGGAACACTGCTGTAGAGAAAGAACTCATAAAAGGAAGAAAGCATTTGCGTACATTTGGAGAAACCACAGGGTATTGACTGCTGTATATACTGTGCACATCATACATATTTTGGAATGCAATGGAAATTAGCTGAAGTTTCAGCCATCCACTCTACTTTTTTATTCGTGTGTGGAAATGTGAAGCCTTTTTCTGAAAAAACGCAGCTGCTCACGGTTTATTAATTTAATTCTTTTTGAATTTCTTCTGAATTATGTAGAAATTTGCGTTGTTTTAGGATAATTTGTTCGGAAGAAAGGAAAATTGCGCAAAGGAAATTATTGTGCTGTACTGTGATGCAAAATTTGATTATTCCTACTTGAATACATTCACGTTTTCAACAAAACTGGTCTCATTATATTTAAAAATGGACAAAAAGCTGAGAAGGCAAAGTTGAAATCGATGTGGTGGAAAATTACACCAACTGCAGGATCAAACACACACGAGGTGTAATATTTTTTTACTTATTCGCCTTTTTTCCTTGCGTTTCATTCAGCAAGTAAATTTCTTCGCCTTTTCTCTGGAAATTCGTTTAAAAAAAAGGCACTGGAAAAAATAGGGCAACTGCATACATCATTCGGGGTGAATACACTTTTGCAGAAGGCATTCTTCTTTCGGAAATTTTGCAGAACTATTGAACATTCGTCTGGTCTCAGATCAGCAAATTTATCTGTTTATTTTCGCCGATTGAAACCCTAATATAGCATGAAATTGTTCTGCGGGTGTTCCACATTTTTTTTCCGAGAAAAATACTCTTAGGATAACATTTGCAGAAGAGAGGTTGAAATGAGTATAGTACTTATGCAAATAAAATCTTGCATGAATTAATAAACTTGTTTCTGCTGATTTTTGGGGGAAATGAGTAACGTTCATTTGGCCAAAACAGATGAAAATTCAAAAACAGCGATTTATCGCAGACGTGTTCTAGGCCGTATCAGCCAATTTTTTGAACATCTTGCTCAAATTTCCAGTATATTTTCGCGTCCTACTCTGTACAGCGTATCAGAATTTAAGCAATGTATTCGTCGGAAGTTAAATTTAGACAAAACCTTGTTGCGATTCAAAATAATAATTATTCACTTTATTTGTTATTCGTGTGTGGATATGTGAAGCATTTTTCTGAAAAAACGCAGCTGCTCACGGTTTATTAATTTAATTTTTTAATTTCTTCTGATTTATGTAGAAATTTGCATTGTTTTAGGATAATTTTTTCAGAAGAAAGGAATCTTGAGCAAAGGAAATTTTGGTGCTGTACTGTAATGCAAACTTTGGTTATTCCTACTGGAATACCTTCACATTTTTAACAAAACTGGTCTCTTTATGCATAAAAAGGAAAAAAAAGCTGAGAAGGCAAAGTTGAAATTGATGTAGTGAAAAATTACACCAACTGCAGGATCAAACATTCACTATAGGTGAAATATTGTTTTTAATTATTCAGCTTTTTTTTTCGTTGTGTTTGTTAGGCTCTTTGTTTGTAAGGCAATGCGTTTGCTAGGCATAAGGTACCACTGTACTAAAATATTATTTAATTGGTGCCAGAATGTGAATTTATTTCACCATGAACCACATTATAAAAGTGTTGCCAGGAATATCGCACCTGAGAAAGTGAAACCAAGTCCTTCTCCTTGGTCTTGAGGTCCGCAGTGAGGCGTTGGATCTCTTGGTCCCTCTGGTCAATCAGCTTCTTCAAGTTGGCCTTGAGCTCCTCCATCTCCTTGCCCTTGCTCCCCTGGTCCTGCTTCAGGTTCTCAGAGGCCTTTCTAGCCTGCTCCAGCTCTGATTCTGACTGCTGCAAGTCCTGCTGCAGGTTCAGGAGCATCTCCTGGGACTTTTTCAACTGCCCCACGAGCTGGTCCCTTTCACTGGTCACCTTGGCGAGCTCAGGTTCCAGGCGTTTCACTTCTTCCGAGACGTCCTTGTTTTGTTTGTCCTACCCCAAATAAAAAATAAATAAAATAAAAATTTAATGTACTGCCGCCTTGCTGCCAATTCCAGGTAAATTTTCCAAAGAGTTTTTAGTTTAAAAAATAAATACAGGTATATAAATTTTGCAGAATTTGATGTACATGCAGTTGAATGTGCAAAATCTAACCTTGTTTTCAATGAAGTCCCGCATCTTGGCATTCTCTTGCTTGACTCTCATGTACTCGTTGCGCAGTTCGGCGAGTTCCTTCTCCACATTCTCCATTTGCTGCTTCCGCTTGTCAAACTCGGCCTTCCATTTCTTATTGTGCTCATCGCGTCAGAGGAGGTGCTAGAAGAATATGAGACTGTTCGACAGAACGCGACGGTCCCGAAGTCGTCGGTTAGACAGGGAGAGACGGTTGTCTCAGAAGTAAAGGCAGAGCCGGTTTGGCTCAGACAGAGGCAGCGTCTTCAGCTCGTCGCTATACGACTGCATGCTTGTCAAAGACTTTTCCGCGTCTGCCAAGAACTGCTGGGACTTGGCGAGTCGCTCTTCTTCATTTCCGTCTCGGCCAAACCGAGTCTGTCTCGCAGCGTCTTCAGCTCGTCGCTATACGACTGCATGCTTGTCAAAGACTTTTCCGCGTCTGCCAAGAACTGCTGGGACTTGGCGAGTCGCTCATTGGCATCTGCCAACTGCTTGTCAGACACTGCCTTGGCCTTGACTGCAGCTGCGAGTTGCTCTCGGGTCTTGAGCAGAGACGCGTTGAGGTTCTCCAATTGGGCCTTGGTGTGTTTGGCGTCTTCGCCGGCCTTGACAGAGTGGTTGGACAATTGTTCAGTGGCGGTTGCGAGGTCCTTATGAAGGCGCTCTTTGTCGAATTCCAGGGCTTCGAGCTGCTTCTGTGACCGAGTCAGGTCAGTCAGGAGTTTCTCGTTCTTGCCGCGGACTTTTTCCACTTCCAGCTTGGCGCGTTCCAGCTCCATCGCCTGTTGATTTCATTTTCAAAGCAGAGAAAAATTATTATTTAAATTTCGTGAAAGAATAAGGTCGCGCTGCGAATTTTGTTTTGTTTAAAAGTTGGCGTATAAATAATAAGGTTCCGCCATTATTTGCGCATGTATCACTTTTACTTCTTCGGCTTTTTTCGATTATTTGAAAAAATGTGGGAATCCGTGGGGGAAAAAAGCACATGACAACTTATTTTGTACCTTATCCGTGTCAGTGGAAGTGAGCTTGTGGAACTGGTTCTGGGCGACATCCAGTTCCGCTCTGACCTTCTTGAGCTCTTCGCCAAGCTTCTCAGTA